TTCACGGGTAAGGTACCTACTTATTACTACTTCATAGGCTAATTTACAAATCAAAGGTAATTTTTTTAAAAAGACAACTTTATGTGGAAATCACAAAGCAGCTAATGTTTCTGGTAAGGGGTCTGTTTGTAAGTTTGTCATTTTTTTCTGAATTTTTGAATGTAACCTTCTCACGATAAGGGATACTTGAAAAAAATATATAATACTGTTAAAATATCGGTAGCTCGAGCGATACTAGAGAAAAATTACATTTTCAACAATAAATATATTTTATAGCACAGTGTGACCTAAACCCGCACTTTACGCACGCTTTTCCGTGACCTAAGTTGCCTATTTCTGCACGGTGTGTAAATGAATTGACCAACTTCACTCATGTAGAATTAGTACATTACGATACGCGTAACTTAACTTTACTATGCCAATCAAGGAATAAACGTTCATGGATACATTGAAATTCTATTTTGTTGTAATGATATTTGATTTTTTCCTTTTGAAATATACTTTCAAAATGGTAATCTGAACCGGAATTCTTTCTTTTCAGAGTTTGACTTGCAGTCTGTATTGCAATTCTTTGTGATTGCAATACATGAATTTTACTTTCAAAACACTAATCGAACCCCCCCCCCCCCCCCCCTCTTGCCCGCGTCTGGGGCGGGTTTATGTCACACTTGCTATAAAATAGTATACGATACTTGTGGCCTAAGTTGTCTATTACTGCACGGCGTTTAGCACCGGGTCGCTAACTTCACGCCGTGCAGTAATAGGCAACATAGGTCACGCGTATCGTAATGTACTAATTTTATCACTGAAGTTTGTATCCAACATTTTCTAAACTTTTCTAAGTTTTCTTAAATTATTTCACAGTCACCTTGAAATCAAATAAGTAAGTACGATTTTTTATGAACTCTTACAGATAACAAAAATTATATTAATAGTATAAAATTTTAATACACTGTTTCCTTCCAAAACAAACCTTTACAAGCTTAATCTACAACACTTTTATACACTATTTACATTCACCAACTGTTAAATAGACCATATTAAATAATAATAATTTGGTTTGGATTTTCTGTAATATTTTGTTATCTTTGGAATTTATCACCCATATATCTAAATCTAAATTTACAGTCCCTAAAAATGAGATTAATTATTTCTTCATTTAGGTACATTTTACGCGACGATTATATTTAAGAGTTTCTCTTCTACAGCCGACCACTACCGTTGCACCGTGACTCACTCAAAATAACTTTTTATCACTGACAATAAATTTTGCTAAAGTAATAAACACTATCTAACCTCGCGCGAGTTAATATAAATACGGTGACCCGTATCGTCGTACGTAAAGTTTAGTGTGCGGTTCATCCAACGCGGTCTCGTTGGATGTATAGTTGAGAGGGATATTATTGTGAGCAGGCTGCTCGGACGCATTGGATCGCACGCACAGGTCCATAGCGGAGAACTGTGGGGTCCGGAGTCGGCGCGGGCGACGGCCCACGGGCCTGTTGGATCAATGCTCTGTACTAAAGTACGAGTTCTGCATGAGGTAGAGCTTGTCGATGGGGTTGACGACCGCACCAGTGCCCAGGTTGAGTGGCTCGTGCACCGCGTGCGTATGCGCGTGCGTGTGGTGCGGCACCTCCAGGTTCTGCAGGCTCATCGTGTCCGACGTGCCTTCGTCCAGCTGGTCGAAGTTGCTCCCGTCCAACGAGATGTCCGAGCTGCAAAAACTATCCCCTGAGTGTGCCGGATAATCTGGAAAAGAAATTAAATAGGTTATTGTATTGTTCAGTACAGTGTTTGCATGCACGATCAGTGTTATCTTTAGTAGGAGCGCTCACCGTCTGGGGAATACGGCAAGTTAGGATTGAGCGGCTGACTCGACGCCGTGTAGGACCCGTCCAGCCCCAGGTAGTTGCCGTGCTCGCTCGACGGCGATTCCTGCTTGATATTCTTCTCGTCTTTGTCCTTCTCTTTCTCGCTGTTTTTATCACCCTCCTGCTTCGCTTTCCGCTGGATCTTTTTCATTTTAGCCCTCTGGTTCTGGAACCACACCTGCACGACCCGCACGCTCAGTCCTGTGTCTTTGGCGAGCGCTTCGCGGACCTTGCGACAAGGTTTCGGGCTCACCTCGAATGAGGCTTTGAACTGTCTCCGTTGGGCCGACGTGAGAATGGTTCTGGGACGCTTCGGACCTCTCCTGCCGTCGCGAGGTCGTTCCGAGTCGTCGATGATCATATCGTCTTCCGCGTGTTGCATCAGATACATCTCCTTCTCGAAGTCCTGCCGGCAGAATATCTGTCCGGCCCTGATGACGTATTGTTCGCCCTTCTGCAGCGGCTGGCAACACATGACGCACACGAAGCACTGTATGTGGAACACGTACTGCTGGGCACGCATCACCATCTCCTGGGGGAGGAGGCGGTCGCCGCATCTGGTGCACTTCACCCCGAACAATCTACGGGATAACATACATAATATATGATACAAATAATTAGGTCGCGCGCAGCATTTCGCTTGGCGGTTCGCATGAGCAGACATTCGCTTCGGCGGCGAGAAGTGATGGAGTGTATGGATGGATTACCTATCGTAGTCTGGTTTGCAGTAGAGCTTGGCGTTCCTGGTGAAGCAGGTGTGGGCGAGCGGAGAGCCGCACACGCAGCAGCTGAGGCAGTGCTCATGCCAGGACAGCTCGCCGACGCGCATCAGGTACCGGTCCTGGATCTTCTGGCCGCATCCCTCGCAGATCTCAACGATCTTCTCCCGCTTGATGCTGGCGCTCAGTTCTGTGCGGACGGAATCTAAAGTTAGTAGCATGTGGAAGGTCCTCTAGATTAGAATTTACGCATCTTGTTATAGTAATACATTCTACATCAATGTTTCTGATTGGGGATACTTTTTAAATTAAGTTACTAAGTTTATCATTAAAATATAGTTTTCATTATTAATGAAAGAATTGATTAAACATAAGACCACACTTAGAGACGAAAATTATTTTTTAATTTGTTAAAATTGATACTGCCTTTGAATATCTATCTACTTACTTAATTAAATCAATCGTACACAAAATATGCTACGCATGAAATTCGCATAAGCCAAAATACTTATTTAAATTTAATTAGTTTGAGACTAAAATTTTTAAACAAGTTTCACGTCTGTATGGTTTAGTGTCCTTAAACTACTTAGATATTACTTAAATTTTGTGGCTACTTTTACTAAGTGTAAGATACACACACATGTTTGAATGCTGCTCTCAGGCGATGACTGATGATATTAAAAATTGGGAAGTTATAGGGTGTATTCCGAAATATTCATCGGTATACTGGCCAGTGGTAATGACGTCACGAATCCGATGCCATATTGTACTGGTATGCTACCATATTTTTACCGGGAAAACGAATATGACGTATGACGTGCGTGCGTGAGATGCATTCGAATTTTACTTCTTTTTTATTTAAAGAATAATAATGGCATCGGAACAAAAAGAATTCCTTTTAATTGATGAGGTGAATAAAAAATATTCTTTATTCGCACTATTTTTAATATTTCGTCGATTTATGATGTCAGTGTACTGGCCAATATATTTCGGAACAATTCACCAGTATAGCGTCGATTCATGACGTCGTTAGCATGATATATATTACGGAAAACATCAAGAATGTGCTCTGTTTGATAACGATTGCTATTACATTAGACGTAGTTCGATATACTCCTATAACCAAAAGATTTTAGACTATGACAAAAGTTCATTTATTATTCGAAAAACTTAACTGTCAGTCAGGGGTGTATTTTAAAATCTTCCGTCTTAGGCCTGCCATTTAGTAGATCCCCCTTCTCCTAAATAGAGCTAGTAAATCAAATCAAAATAAAGGTTATTAATTAATGTCTTTATATGTCTTCCGCGGCTCCTCACAGCTCTTGCAGCCGCCGCCGTACATGGCCCTAGGAAAAATACGCCCCTATTCTCGATATAAGTTCATATCTTCTGTTGAACAATCACTTATTGTAATTCGATATTTACAATTATAATTATAATTTTAACTTATGAAATTAATTTTAATTGAATATTATTATTTACTTTAATTTGAATTTTTGACATTGTAAAAGAATTTTAATTAAACATTGACATTGTACGTCCGAAATGGGCAGACTGTTTGGATCTGTATTTTAATACATAACTAGCAAACCAGTGAACCAAATGTTCACCAAAACCTGATTTCTCGAAAACCGGAAGTGCTACGTTACTCAAATCCGGTTTGTAGTCTTATCAGACTATTCTTAACTCATAACTTAAATATTCTCTTTATCTATCTCTTACGGTTTGGCCGCTGAAACAGCACCACAGATAGACGGACTTGTGTAATAGATAAGAGATGTTACCACCTTATTGTACCCAGTTTAAACAATGAATAAATGAATCTGAATCTGAATCTATAAATGTGTAAGTTCGAATCCTTTGCGAATCCAACAAAAAGCGCGCTCGAACAAAAATAATTTAAAATCTTCCAATGAATACATTAAATAGTTTACTAGAAAAAAATCCACGCGGACCAGGCAGCGGACGGGACTCGAACCCGCATCCTTCGCTATCCGGGCGAATGCACTGACCATTATGCTACCACGGCCCTATTAGCCGCGTCGAAATTTTCCTAGCCTTAAGCTGCAAGGCAGCGCCATCCCTTCGCATTGTAGGCAATCCACAATGTCAAATGAATACTTTTTCAAGTATTAAACATTTGAAAGAAGAAACAGCAATTATAGTTATGATTTTATTTATTTTTTAAGCATTTAACTGCTAAATAGGTTGTATACATTAAATAGGTTGATTTTCTGTCAATCATCGGCATTAAATTCAAGGAGGAAATATCTAGAAATGTTATTGTCTATTCACAGACACGGGCGCCGTAAGTAGGTGCCACTTGGAGAGATTCTCTCGCCCCTATTGATCTAGCGCGGTGGGAATCGCGGAGATCAATGCTCGCCCTACGCCCTACGGTACGTAGTTATGCCGTGAGCCGGGAGTACGTAACACGAGGAGTAGCGGCCCAGGCGTCTCGACGCGCCGCGGAGGGCACGCCCATGGGAGGGGCCGCGGGGGCACGGGAGAGCGCAGTTAATCGATGGGTAGGCCGCCATACAACATCCCTCGGTTCTTTTCCGACTTCCGACCTTAATGCGAATGACGTTTACGATTCTCAACCGCTCTCTTACTTTTTCTTTATATAAATTAATTTTAACTAGCAAACCGGTGAACCAAATCGAGCCGTTACTGCCAAATTATCGTAAGCGATACTTTTGTCGAAATGCGTTTTTTTGTGGAATCTAATATTTTAAACTGTAACGGACCCATCTCTGTTGATATTTCCCCCCAAAAGAACACCGTTATATTATAAATATAACGGTATAATAGGGACAAAAAACGCATTTCGACAAAAGTGTCGCTTACGATAATTTGCCGGTAACGGCTCGAAATGTTCACCAAAACCTGATTTAAAAAAAAATGTATTTAATTAATTGAGAACTTTGGATATTTTGTGTGGTTTCGTTTGAAATTCGCGATTTCTCGAAAACCTAAAGTGCTATGTTACTCAAATCCGGTTTGTAGTCTTATCAAACTATTCTTAACTTATAACTTAAATATTCTCTTTATCTATCTCTTACGGTTTGGCCGCTGAAACAGCACCACAGACAGACGGACGGACGGACTTGTCTAATAGATAAGAGATAATTGTTATATGTAAAAAATGTGAGACATTAAAGGACATTATTTTGTAAAAGTAATATGCTGAAAAGAACAGATTGCTATAGGAACTAAAAAAGGCATAATGATACTACGTTTTTATTTCCAGAAAATGATGATTGTTTATTTAATTTATATTTATTTTTCATTAAATATAAAAATCGCATTTGACTGCGCCTGGCGACGCGTTGCCACACCGTATACACTACTGCATGTAGACTGAATATATATACCATCTTATAGCGCCGGCATGAGTCGCCACGCCAGATATCGGTTTCACATCAAAAGAATCAACTTATGAGTGATTGTATGTAGAATGTTCGAGCCGCTGCTACCAACTATGGCGTAGTTAGCCTTCGGTCGCGAACACTAGAACGAACAATGTTTTGTTTGTAATAAGCAGCGAATTGAATTTCGTAATTTAAAAAGAAAGTTTTATCATTTTTCCTACCGACGCCAAACGTTATTAACTTTCGAACTACAAATAAAAAACATGATTGAAGAAGGCCGCATACGGAAAACGTTAATTCCTTTGCTCAAAGATTTCCAATGAAAAACCTTGTTCGCTTCTAAATAACCATTCGTGTTCGAATGCAACTCGCATGCGCCGTCCTTTTTGTATTCAATGGCAGTTAGCGCAGTGTATTTTCACTTTGAAAAAGAAATATTTACAACGATGAAAAAGAGCCGTTACCCAGAGTATCCCTAATGGTATACACATATTTGTATAAACGTGCAGTTTATTTGTTGCCCGCGAGTACAGCGTTTTGCGCCGCGTACCAAAGCAAAGGGTGCACGGATTATTCGGTCCCTTGAAAATGGCCGCAACTTTCACGTATGAAAGTAGAGTCTGTGCCTGAATTCAATCTCTCTCAGAATATTCGATGTAAGACAGAAGGTTCTCACATTTGAATCTTTAAAATAATGACATTTAATTTTTATACAACTGCCAGCCGTAGACATTACATAAGGAAAGAGTTTATACAAACAAGGAGGCCGTAACGCTACGGGCGTTACAGTATGTACTAATTTAATCTCTTATCTATTAGACAAGTCCGTCTGTCTGAGGTGCTGTTTCAGCGGCCAAACCGTAAGAGATAGATAAAGAGAATATTTAAGTTATAAGTTAAGAATAGTCTGATAAGACTACAAACCGGATTTGAGTAACGTAGCACTTCCGGTTTTCGAGAAATCAGGTTTTGGTGAACATTTGGTTCACTGGTTTGCTAGTATGTTTTAATATAGTAATTTTATATTAGACAAATTTCGTTTAGCTTTGATTAAAAACGAGATATCATGTTTTCAGTTTCAGTTCAAATGTTTATTTGAATTTCAGTATAGAAACGTGTAATAAAACATGTATTGGCATAACGAGCTCTTGATTTATCGATTATTTGTCATTCGATTTTGGTGACTAATTTTATTACTGCTATAGCATGTTTTTCCCTTCAAAAGTTGTATAAGTTTTTTGAAGTTATACTTCTTTCGCTTTAGCGACCAACTTCATGCGTTACTTTTGTGTTTACCGCACATTAAGAAAATATACCAACAAAATAGAAATAGAATCTCTATTTAGTGGGTGCTAACGACTGTATTGTGAAGGCCTATCAAAAGTCTTTATTAATCTGGATTAACGGAACCAAAGCGCGATTCAGGAGACTACAGCGCCATCTCTTGACCATTTTTGAATGATATTCTTGTTCATTCGTTTTGTTTAACACCGGACTCGGACCTTTTATTCGTATGTGATTTAAAGGACATCGACGAAATCGGCCCTAGCATGCCCAAAAGAATGTCCTTCACTATTATTGTTCTATATTTTTTTTTAATTTATTAGCAATTAATCATAGTAAACGGACAATCTGTTTAAAAAAATAAAAAATAAAAGTTGTGTTACTAGATACTACAGTCTGTTCATCCTAACTTGTCGTATTTGGTAAACAATCTTGGCACTCCTTTTTGCAGCATTAAAAATCAACTGAAAACTGGATTTAATAGTTTATTGGTTTCGTTATTATTTTATTTTTAAATGGGTGATTTTGTTAAAAAGTTCTGCCAAGATTGTTTACCATAATAAATGCAGTATAGGCGACCATAGCTATTTAACAACATAAGAATAGAACTATTTAGGTGCCTTAGTTAATCGTACTTATCACTTGTATTTATATTGTATAAAAGATTATACAAATTATTATAAAAAGATTATTTATGAAATTATGCAAAGATAGTTTATACTCCCATCCCATATAATGTTGTGTTTATTTTTAAGAAAAACATAATGATAACCAAGTACATACCTTATTACTAGGGCTGCCATCTCTAAAATGTGGCAACCAGGATAAGACGCGTGATAACCCCGGATTTTGTTACCCAGAACCCGGACAGACCAAAAAAAAACAGTTAAAAATGTCACAAATCAACTTTTTTATGTTGATCTAGGCAAAAGAGCAAGCAGTCTACCTCATAATAAGTGGTCACTGCTGCCCATGGACACTTGCAGCACCAAGGGCCACTCAGGCGTAATTTTTTTAACCCGGACTACAAATAAAACCCCGCCCGGACGCTCCCCGGACGCCCCGTAAACTAGGACAAATCCGGGAAAACCCGGACGGATGGCAGCCCTACTTATTACCGATATTAAAATATAGAAACAGGTAAATGGAAAGACTTTGAACATTTCATTTGAAAAGAAATCTATTATTACAACATGTAGGTATAGGTATCATAGGTGCCAACTGCCAACACTCATAAATCAATATGAATATAAGCATTTATTATTTTTAATATTAATTGCATTTTATGTTCATTTAATGCATATTATTTAAGTGCTTACATAGAGGTAAACGCTAAATCTATTCAGAATATATAAAGTGTATACATCTTTTACGATTAAGTATAATAATTATAACCTCAAAATCTAATACATTCTGTAGTAGGCCACGGTTCCTCAAGTTGTCCGTATCTCAACAAATGCCTAATTAGAGTTTATGAATGATTCTGAACACAACTAGCATTTTCTAATTGCTCTGCGTTTTAGGGCATTCATTGTATGGGGAACGAGCAATGTACTTTAATTGATAATTTTCGTATTTTGCCTAAATGATAATTTCATGAAATAAACGTTTATTCCCGCGTTCGTAGTCTGGTGTGAATCGTTTGGTTAACAATGATGTCGATTCTGGCGTGATTCTCTAAACTTAAAACTAAGTTTAAGATCAATCTCTCCTTTTCATTTTGTATAGAGAATGACAAGGATACACTGTTGTCAAATTTAATTTTAGGTTTAGAGAATCATGTCAGAATTGACACCAATGTATGCTTAAAGCGCATTCATGGATTTACAATTATTAAACAGTACCTGCCTCTCTGCTCTGTAAATATTATCACGGAATAACATCCGAAGCCAAATATTATTGGACCGATTGATGGTCGCATCACAGCCATCAAATTGGTCAGAAAATTACACCTGTGTTTAATTAATATAAGTACAGTACCCTTAGTACGAGTTTTACAATTACGAAAACTATGATAGTTTTCGTCAACTCGTACTAAGGGTACTGATTTTATTGTTATCGTTTCAATACAATGGACAGTGTTTAAATTCTATCATTAAATCATTTGCGTCTTCATAATATTTAAGTATATTTGGTTACTCTTTATAATTTACATTTACATAAACTATGATAGTTTTCGTGAGCTCAAACTAGTACTAATTGTACAGACAGCCACTCACTTTAACTCAATCTCAAACCGACAAATTTTCTCAGTAGATTTTGAATTTTATATCAAGCGAGATAGATGCTCAAGTCACAGCCCATGTACACAATCAAAGACGAAATCTTTGTACACAATTTGATTTGTTAAAAATTTCAAGCTTAATATTTTAAATGTTTTCATTTAACCGAATTAATATAGTTATAATAGGGGTGATGACGGGGTACAGTAAACGAAATTCTATTTAGTCCGTCAGTTTGATGATCAAAAAATAATGGACACGTATTTTTTCTTTGGGCAATCAACCAAAAAATGACAATGTTATAGCGCGTCAAAGTTTGGGAGTAGGGGCTCGTGACGTCACTTTTGAGTGAATTTTCCCTTATAAGTGTACTCAAACGTGACTTCATGCGACTTTTCAAATCAATATATCTCTGCAATGTTTATATTATGTGAAAAAAGAAAAAATACGTGTCCAATACTTTTTGATAATCTACCTGATTACGAAGAAAAAAAAATTAGTATCATCCCTATTATGCCAATACGAATGTATAGTTGTAGTTAAACAGTCGGGTTTTTAGATTTATTAAATTTACCTTTTTCTTAAATGGATTAGGTAAGCCGTATCTACTTTCCATCGAGTTGGTTCATCGTTATAACAATTTTGCGTTCCTTGTATGTCGTATCATTTTCATTTAAACTAGTCGTAGTCTAA